AAGCCGCCCAGGCGCCACGCACAAACTTTGCCCAACTTTCGCCCACCCGGCAGTCGTGGCGCGCCCCCGCCAGGCATCCCCACACGGCCCCGGGAAAGAACTTTTGTGGGGTGGGAGTGGGGGACTCCCCTGTGCCCCAAGAAGAGGAGGGGAGGGAACCAAAACCCCAGCCCGCCTCACCTGCCGCCTCCTCTCTCCTTGCTCCCCCACGTCCCCTCCCGTGCGGGCTCCCGAGGGGAGCGCGCAGACCGGAGGAGTAGACCCTGGGAGGGGGCGCGCGCATCCGCCAGGAAGGAAGGGAGACCGACAAGCAAAACAGGAAAGACAGAAGCAAGAAGAGAAGGAAGAAGGAGCGCTCCCCTGCTCAAAGAAGTAAGCCCCCGGGGAAGGGGAAGAGAGACACACACAACCGGCCGGGCCACGTCTGAGAAGCCAGAAAGGGGAGCCGGGGATGCGCCCCAAGCGAAGTGGCAGCTGGCCCCCGGGGACACCCCTTCCCACCACCCCTCTTTGTCCAGAGGCGTCGGCGCGCGCGTGCAAGAGAGAGATCGCTGAGGCGGGGGTTTGCGAAGCTGGCTTCCCCGTGATCTTCGCAAACCCCCACCGATGAGCTGTGCTTCGGGGCTCTCTCTCTCCACCCCTTGCAACACAGCTGATCGGCGGTGCATTTGGGATGATCGTGGGGAAGCCCTTCCCCACGATCATCACAAAGCGATTTTTGGCCATCTAAAACATCGCAATGTGATCGGTTTTGCAATCGCAAAAACCTCATTGCTATGCGGATTCATCGTTAAACGGGGCGCTCATTAAGCGAGGCACCACTGTATCTGAATTTCCGGAAGGAGGTGCTGAAGATGAAACAAGCATTACAGATATGTTGTTGGAATGGATTAAGCTAGTGGCATCAGATTTTGTTTGCGTTCAAGAAGACTTGGAGAGATCGCATGAAGTTGATTTTAAGTGTGGAGACAGCATATCTCCTATGAGGCAGGAATTAATTTCATTGGTTATTTTCAAGGGATTTGATTATGTGAAATGGCCAGCATTAAAAATAATATAAATATTAGGTTTTGGGGAGCAGTTTAAAGCTATGATAGATTAGTTACTGTGTTTCCCCGAAAATAAAACAGGGTCTTAAATTAATTTTTGCTCCAAAAAACATATTAGGGCTTATTTTCCAGGGATGTTTTATGTTACAGTCATGCCATCTTCAGGTTGCTGCACAGTGCTGCACAATGGTGGAGGGTGGGGTTTAACTTAACTGGGGTTTATTTTTGGGGTAGGACTTACATTACAAGCATCCTGAAAAATCATACTAGGACTTATTTTCAGGTTAGGTCTTATTTTTTGTAAAACATTATACAGTACTGTATTCAGAGAACACTGCAACAGTATTAGTAAATGATGGTATAAATGAAAAGATATCCCTAAGCCACTGTATTAAACAAAGGTGTCCCTTTTCCCCAGTATTGATTGCTTTAGTTATAGAATTGTTGGCAAATCTTATTAGAGAAGGTAAATTAATTAGTGATAGAGGCACTAAAGATAGACTACAAATTCATTTATTTGCTGATAATGCTTTAATATTAATAATATATCATGCTATTATGACTTATGGTGACCCTTTTCAGGGTTTCTTGCTTAAAAAATATTCTGAAATGATTTATGTGCCAGAACCCTAGCCACTTTTGCCTGTTAACAGGAGAAATAAGGTGACTGCGGAGAATGAAAGGTGAGCCTTATCCAGAAGAGTGTGAAGGAGGGAGGAGGAGCCTGAGCTGGAGAGAAGGGGAGAAGTTAATTTGTATCAGAAAAGGGAGGTTGTGTACTGCATTTTGACAATTGGGGTATAACTTAAGAAAAACCTAAGAACATATCATTTCTTCATTCTTTAAACAATAAGGGAGCCCTACAAAGTCTTGAAATCTGAAGGGGATAGATAGGAAACTTTCAATTTGTTAAAATTAAATATTTCTGGTATTCAATTTGGGTCATGCTGGTGTTCATGGCTGAAGTCAAGCCCTTTAAAGGCAGTTATTTTAAAAAGTGGCAAGCCTAGGTAGAGGCTGGTTGCAATTTACCATTCCCTTCTGCAGGTGCCCTGGGCTGTACAGGTTGCCCAAGGCCACACAGGCTTGCTGTACTTATAGGAGGCACAGTGGGGAATCAAACTTCCAATCTCTGGCTCCTCAACCAGATAACTAAACCACTGAGCTATCCAGCCAGTTTTAATAACAGTAGAAAATCCATTAATGGTTATGGATAGGGTGAAATTATATTTTAAATAATTTGAGGAGATAACAGGGTTACAGATAAATCAGAGATGATTATATTTAATTATTAGAAAGATTTAAAAAAGTGGGAAGAAAATTGATACTAATATTTGAAAGTCTATTAAATGTTTAGGTAGAATGTAGATTGAGTGAAAGAGGAAATTTTTTAAAAAGTGAAAGAAGAAATTAAAAGTAAGTTTGATGATTTTATGAAATTTGAGCTTCCATGGTTTGGTAGAATAGAATTAAATTTTTATCTTAGATGAACTTCCTATTTATGTTACTGATAAAGATAACCAAAGAAGAATTTAAAATTTGGTAACATTAAGAAAATTGTAATGGAAATAAAAAAGCAAGGTTTAACAAGAGGAGATGGTGTACATCTCCTCTTGTCCCTCCAACGCTGCCTGTGGGCTGTACTGAAATGGATGCAGGAAAATGGGCTGAGGCTGAATCCGGACAAGACGGAAGTTCTGAAGGTGGGTGCCCCTGTGGATGGTGGCTTGGGTGACTTATGTTTGGGGGGGTGACCCTGGCCACAAAGAGTGGGGTTCGCAGCATGGGGGTACACCTAGACCCGACGCTCACCATGGAAACGCAGGTGGCGTTGGTAGTCCACACCGCCTTTTTCCATCTTTGGCGGATTGCCCGGCTGCGACCCTACCGCAACACGGGGGCGCTCACTACCTTAGTACATGCGCTCGTAATCTCAAGATTAGACCACTGTAACACGCTCTATGTGGGGCTGCCTTTGAAGCTGATGCGGAAACTTCAAGTGGTGCATAATGCAGCGGCCAGACTCCTTACTGGAGTGAGAAAATACCAACATATTTCTCCTACTCTGGCTATGCTGCACTAGCTGCCCATCCATTTTCACATTGACTTCAAAGTGTTAATGCTTACCTATAAGGCCCTAAAGGGTTTAGGAGCTCGATACCTGGCGGAACGCCTGCTCCCACCAAGATCTACCCAGATCCCCCGCACGAGTCAGGAGGTGAGGCTGAGGAGCCTAATGCTGAGGGAGGCCCGGAAGGAAAAGACACGAAATCGAGCCTTCTCGGCGATGGCTCCTTGCCTCTGGAATAACCTTCCTCCGGTGATTCATATAGCCCCCACGCAGGGCACCTTTAAGAGACAACTTAAAACATGGATGTACACTCAGGCCTTCCCTCCAGTCAATACTTAACTTTCCTTTATTCTTTCTTTATTTTATTATTTGTTTTTAGTACTATATTTGTTACGGATTGTTTATGTAAATCTCTGTGTTTTTATTGTATATCTGTTCATTGGAAGCTGCCCAGAGTGGTCGAATAGACCAGATGGGTGGCATATAAATCAAATAAATAAATAAATAAAAATACATTTCAAAAAGTAGAAAGACTGCATGTTCCTACTTTAAGTTTATATTATATAGCTAATCAAATAAGACATTTGTGTGAGATTATATCTCAGTCTGGTAAATTACCGTATTTTTTGCACCATAAGACGCACTTTCCTCCCCCCCAAAAAGAGGGGTAGAAAGTCTGTGCGTCTTATGGAGTGAAGGTGGTAACTTCGCCCCCACTGGCCCCATGGGGGGCAGCGTCGCAAGGGTCCGTGGGAGCCTTCCAGGACCCTTGCGACACTCCCCCACCCCCGACGGGGCCATTGGGGTGAAATAGCGACCTTCCAAGACCTTTTGCCCATTTCAATACAACTGGGTAGCAGATCAAGTGAATTTAATTGGAAGCTCAATACTTCACATTTTAAAAATGAGGAGTTTATCAAGCAAATAAAAGAAGACATGGACTTCTTCTTGTAACAGAACATGAGGCCAGAAACACAAATGACAATGGTTTGGGAGGCAAGTAAGGCATTTTTTAGAGGAACAGCCATAAGATTTGCATTAAAACAAAAAGTGAAAGACAGAAAAAATGTAAGATTTTGGAAAATAGATTAGTCTCAGATGAACTACAGCAGAAACAAAATCCATTATATATAGAACTGAAAGAGAAGATAACATTAGTATACCACCAGATAAATATATTGATCACTGAGGAAACTGCAAAGAAGCTTAAATTTGCAAAGCAA